TTCACGAGTTATTTGAGGGGGAGCCCAGAAGGGCTGCATCCTAAGTTCGAGCAGTCGAAATATTCAAACGTCATGCGTGCTAACTACTTTAAACCTTTCGATGAGCGGTATACCCAGAACCAAATCAGGAGTTCCAGAGACAAAATCCTTTCAAAACGGGCTGACATGCTATGCAAGTTGGAAAGCTTTGATTAGGAGCAATCCCATCCATTCCATAAAAGGCAAGCTGTGATATCTAAGGGACAAGAGACATCTCTCCAAAGGACATATCCACTACTAATGCACACTTGAGCAGCATAGCACCCCATTTAAGCCTAATTAATTAATTAATTAATTAACTAATTAAATTAGAGGCTTTTTACTATTTAAACAGATAAGCCTATAGCGCTAGAAACTTAGTTAACTTAATTAAGCTAATATTACCTAGAATAATAAAAATCTAACCTCTAGACTAATTAGGATTTTTAAAAAACTTTTTAAAAAAATAAAAAAAAGCCTACCTAGATATTTTAGTACCTAGCCTTATTTTAATTACTTAAGGTTATAACCCTTATAACTTTTATACTTAAAGTAGATAACTTAAGCTAGTTTTAAACTAATATCTCTATAATTACCTATATAGTAGACTTACTACTAACTTATTAGGTCTTATTATAGTATATCTCTAAAAAAAAAAAGGTTAAGTAGTTATTAATATTAGTTTAGTAATACCTTTAGGCTAATAAGTAGTAGAGTGGGGCTAGGTACTTCTTAATAGTAGGGTTAGTACTATTAAGAACTAGTAGAAGTATTAGAAATGCACTTTTTACTTTATTACTAAATTAATATATTTCTAGCCCCTCTATTAGGGGTTAAAAAAAGCCTATTTTTAACCCTTATACTAGCCCTTAAAAATAACCCTTTTTTAATATTACTACTAGCGCTACTAGCGCTACTATTATTATTACTATCGCTATACCTCTACACCTTAAAAACCTACCTATATATACCTCTTAATATCTTTTTTAACCTCTCGCTAGTTATTATGATATCTCTACTAGCTTATAATTAATATATTAATCACTTTATTAGCTATAAGCTATTAACTCCTTATAGGATTACTACTTAGATTTATATATTATCTACTATTACTAGTAATATATTAACTATCAACCTAGCTATACGTAATACTCTTAAAGCCTTACCTCACGCTATATAGAGGGGCTAGTAGTTTATTAATATTAACGCTATTATAAAGAAGGGTTCTTAAGGCTATACCTCTTAGATTATAAGTGAGAGCACTTTTATCTATAAGATCCTTACTAATAGTAAGAAGGGTAGTACTTATTAGGTTTACTAATACTATAATAAGGTAGGGACTCTTAATAAGCTATATAATACTAAAGCTATAACTACTACTACCTAATATTTTAAGAATAAGTATAAGGTCTTCTAAGGTTACTTAGAGAGTAGTAATATATCTCCTAATAAGGCTAATAACTTTAGGCTTCTATCTAAGCGCTATTAATCTATTCCTATTACTATACCTAAGAAGAAGACTACTTAGATTAAAGAGTTAGCTATAGGTTTCTTTATTAATATTAGTAACCCTCTTATAATATTTAGTAATTAGTATATATAGTATATACTTCCTATATTTAATTATAATATTAACGCCTAGATATATTAGTTAAGGACTAGTTAGAGGGATTAACTTTAATAACTCTATATCTCTAAGAAGTAATAGATTAAGGAGGAGATATAGAAGGCTTTTATAAAGGTTTATATATTATTTAACCTATAGACCTCACCTAATTAATATGCTATTATTACTATCTTTAGCTATTTTATTAATAAGTTAGGTAAATAAATATAGTACCTCTTAGGTCTTTATTACTAGCCTAATGCTTATACTAGTAAGAATATTACTACTATAATATATATAGTTATAAGAGACTAGCACTTACTTAATAAAATTAGCGTTATAGTTTCTAATAATACTAGTGCTAATAGCACTTATATTAAGGCTCTATATCTATTTATTTTATAGTTATATATAGAAATAGATACCTAGTATTATTAAATTTAATGCTATAGCTATATCCTTAACCTCATTAGTTATACTATTATTCATAAGGTTAATAAGGAGGTATTTAAGTAAGAGTCTAACTATCTTATTAATATTAGTAAGATCTAAGAGAACTTAGCCTATTAGAGGACTAAAGGACCTATTAGTAAGCTTTAGAATATTATTAAGTATATTAGATTATTACTATAACGCTTAAAAGCCTTCTTATCTATTAGTAATAAGGCTAATAATAATAAGTATACCTTTATTCTATAAGAGGAGTTATTATAAGAGCTAAATCTAATATTAAGTAATACTACTTAATAGAACTTAATATATAATATAATCTACTACGCCCTACTTAAATATAGCTAGATTAATAGCTATATATACTACTCCCTAAGTCTTAAAAATAAGGATAATTATATCCCTAATAAGGATATCCTAACTAATAAGGATTAGTAAGTCCTCGCTAAGTTAAATAAGATATTTAAGCCTCTCTACTTATAAACTAAGTAATATAAAGGCTAAAGTAAAAGTAATAGGTATAGTTAACTCTAAGAGATCTTAGTAAGCCTTAAGTATCTCTTAGATTAACTTAAGGATTAGCGTAAGCTTTATAATACCCCTATTATAGAAGAGATTAACCTTATAGCTATATAAATATCCTAAAGTCTCTTATTATAGTAATCTTAATTAATAAGAGTATTATATTAATCTAGCTAAGCGTTAATCTTATAGACCCTATTAATTAATAGTATCCCTACTTATTTATAGTCTAAATATATTACTATATTACTATACCTCCCTTAAGCTACTAACTTTAACTCTTATATATTTATATACCTATTAATTATTAACAGCTAGTAAGTACTTAATAACTACTATAAAAAGCTTAAAGAGTCTCCCCTCTATACTACTACTATAATACTATACTTTAGTAGAGGTTTATAATAGCTTAAAAAGTATTAAAATACCTAAGAGACTTATAGGTAGCTCTATACTACTAAAGAAGGTCTTTAAGAGTATTAGGAGCAGTAGTATACTGAGATAACTATTTATACTAATAAATAAGCTTATCTAAAACCTCTATAAGGGTTATTTATATTAATCGTAATACCTCTAAAGCTTAAAAACTCTAATTATAGTTAATAGTTAAATAGTAGCCTTTATAATACTACTATTAATAAGATTAATAAGTTAGAGAAGTATTTTAACCTTATAGTTACCTAGCCTATTAATAATCCTATTTAGTAGTAGATTTTATATTAGTAGACCTTCCTAATACTTAGTAAGTTAGCCTTTAATATCTTTACTATCTTAGCGATAATAACTAACTATAAGAGGGTATTTAGCCTTACTAAACTAATACTAATATCATAGAAACTATTAATAAAGTTATTACTACTTAAGGAGATATAATACCTCTAGAATTAGGTTTAAGGTAGTAGTATTACTATTAGTAGGTATTACTTTAAGTAGAAGGGTTAATAGGGGGTAGGATAATATTATAACACTAGATAGGTATATTTCTAGCGTATTAAGATATTATAAGAGCCTTACTAACTTCCTAAATAGGTAATATTAATTAAATCAAATTAAGTCTGTTAAGTTAAGTAAGCTTTTAGTGAAAATCCAGTCAAACAGTTAAGCCTAACCCCTAGGCTTAACTTGTTTGATTGGTATGCAGCGCTACACTTAAGCACATGTAACGACCAGGATAGCACTTACATACGTCATTCAATCGTCGCAAGACCGTTAACCTGTCGAATAATTTTCCGTCAACACAGTCCTCTGGCAAGTAGAAAGTTTCGGGGTTGGTGTGAATGTAAATGGACTCTATCATCTCATGATGCGCACTTTGTGAGCTGTCGTGTCGTCCGACTTCATCGATGGATTGGTTGGTGCACAACGCGCATCTGAGCAATTGACTTGGCCACGCCTTATAGAAAGGTTGTCGAGAATTGGGAAATTCGTTCTGTGAGCGGTTTCTCAGCCTGTCTGTATATTGCAACTCGGAAGCTCTCTGGGCTATCAACTGAAGCCAGGCGCTTCCCCCTGTTCTCAGGTTCGCGCTACCCTTCGCCCATACCCTACTTAAGAATCTGATATCATGTCGCCAATTCCCCCTGACTTTACCTTGCTTTTCCTCGTCCCATCTCAACAAAGCTGCTTCGCCAAGCCTCGCTTTCGCAGAGGGAAATCAATTCTCCATCAGATACTCAGCCACAGGAGTTCTACGACAATTTATCATAACACCTGCGCAGACCGGTAACAGTGAAATAAATGATTCGACTCTCTGGGACTGCGAGTTGGTTGAAGGCAGATGCGCCGTGTCTGTTGCCTAAATCGACATTCTCGTGAACCTCTGTGGGTCACTTGTTACCAGACGCTGTGGACGCTGAAGCCGTCAGAAAGACTATCGGAGCGAAGGCTGGCCTTCCTGGGCCCCCGCCTTGACTTGCTTCTTTCCCGCGACCTCCTGTCCGCACCTGCCCGTCCTTCTCGCGTTAATTCGACCAGTCGCCGAAGGGGCACGAGCGTGCACGGATCTGTGTGTTGGGATTCATTTCCCGGAGAGAAGACGAATCTCGCTCCTGGCGCGCAGGCGAAGAACCGGATCAAGGTCGGCTGTGGTAAGGTCTGGGAGTCATCGGGTTCTTTGACTCTGAGGTACGCATCCCCAACCATAACATGCAGTAAATGGTGCTTGTGAGACAGATGTTGCCCTAGGTCCGATTGATATGAAAGCCGCACGGTGTTTGGTCTAGCATTATATATTTATGATGCTTTGTAACTCTTCAACCGCATGTCCTCTTTCTTCCTATCACTACCTTCCTATGTTGCGGGATGGAAGCTTTCAAGGGAAATACGCACTATTTGGCGTATTAGGGTCAACTATCGTAGTCGTGTTTGACTGTAGGGTCGTCGTAGTGTCGGATCTCAGTGAGCGTCAACCCTTAGCGACAGGCTGAAGCTCCTCCACATGCACCAAAGGCTTCGTCTTGCTCGACTTTGACAAAGTGCGCCGACTGAGTTCCAGCAGCTTTGGGAAGAGCCTCCATGCCAGATATCTCGCAGCCGGCATGCAGGCGACCGCAATTCCAACGCAGAGCTCGATATGAGACCAGATTACACCCCCAAGTAACTCAGCTGTAGAAATATTTGTTATTATTCCAGTGGAACACAGCTTTTGAACAGGGGTGCTCACCAGTAATGTTGGGTGTTTTCGCAAAGTCTAGCAGGCTTTTGATCCGAACGATGCTGACAATAGTGAGGCTTTGGATCGTCAGAATCATGGCATATCTAGGAAGAAGAGATGCGAATCACTTATAAAATCCCAACACTGAACATGGCCATCACGCTAATCTTCCTCCTCAGCGGCATGTTAAGTTTGTATATCTGAGTGAGTGGAAGAATGAGCATCCACACGTCCAAGCCGACATTGATGGCGACGTGTGCGAGTACAATATCCTGTAGGCTGAGGCATTTACCCGCATGCTCACCATCCCAGCCGTTCCAGTAGTGTTGTATGGGTTGGCACTGGAATATACTGAGTAACACAAACAAAGTGCATAAAATAAAGTTGAACACTTGAGTTCCCCAGAGGACGGTTCGAATTGAGCTCATGTGAAAGACTCGGAGATAAAGATAGAGTATCGATGCTTTGATCAATGCGAGGTCGACTATGTAAAAGAATTGTATGATGAAAACAAGCTGCTCGTACCGAGTATTAATTCTCAGGTTCTTCAATAATCGACCGAGGGAGATGAAGCTACCTTCAGAAACATAGTCACCTCATCGGGTTGCAGAACCCATATATCTCGTCCGAGGCCGTAGGAGAGCACTAATGCAAAGGTAAGCCGGAGTTTCAATGAAGATTGTCCACTGAGAAACTTACTAATGAGGACCAATGTGGGAAAGGGTACGAATAGGATCTGATTGAATGAGAAATCGGGAGGCCAAACGATGTTTCGAGTAGTGCAACATACGAATGCCAGGCTGACAGTTGTATCTTCAGCGCCCCATGGCGTCAAACGGAAGGCCCAACTAGCCAGGCGAATAGCCATGAAAATAATGGGTAATATTATCAGGCATCCTATCGTGTATCTTGCGCTATGCCTCTTGTCCGTTGAAGGGAACCCGCATGCTGACCATGTCAGGTTTTGAACAGCTGCAAGAGAATATTAGCCGATTGATCCTCTGCATAGAGAAAGCGTCGCGCAAGAACTGAAGACATACTGAGAGCTTCCTTGATTGTGCAGCCCTTCTGGACGCAGTCGCCTATAAGACCATTGAATGTTGGGTTAGTGCACAGGCATGTCGTGTTTTCGATCGTGCAAGGAGACTGCGGGAGGGCAGTGATGGCACATGTGACCTGCCCCGGCGTTAACAAATATCGGCTACACGTTGTCTTCCACGACGATGACCAACGGATTGACGAACAGCACAGGCGGGGGCAGCGGCCAAAGCATCGGTGAAAGGAGATGCAACAGTCAGCCTGGCAGCCCCAGTAATCAACAGAATACCGAGCGAGAGTCGCATCTTTCAGGTTGCGCCAGAAAGAAAGGAGGAGGGAGCAAAGAAAGTATGTGTCGGCAGCTGTGGGATGAGTTTCATTTTTTAAAACCCATAGTTGCTTGGATTTGACGGAAACGTACAGTGGGAGTCGCCACACTGGTGGTCTCTCCTGATAAACCAATTCCGATGTTCCTTCGCGCGGCCGCACAACTGCGTCGAAGGTGGTAGTGTTCTCTCGCTTTTCTCTCTTTAGTGACTATGTGGTTTAGAAAGAATGGGGGCCTCTTTTGTGCTGCGAACTTGGCGCGAATGGCATTCAGATGTCTCAGACTAGAGGTGGTCCGAGAAGGCCTAGACCATGCCATCCGTCTTTGTTCTAGCGCCTGTCGTCTGGGACGGATAGAGCACTATCCGTTGGCGTCGCGCGATCTTAATTGAAGGCTTGACCGTCATCGCCACTGTTAAGTGGCATAAACAGCGGCAGGTACAGGTGGCTTCCATTCAGGGGGCAAACTCCTGAATCAATACGTAGTAGATGCCCATGTATCGAGCGATACAATCTGTGGAAGGATTTCAACGGCTACTTTATTTCAGCCTGCGAGTTTCTGCAAGCCATCTGCCTCACCAAGTGACGCCCTCGACTGCTGTGGCAGTCTATGCTTGACAAGGTCTGGGGGCGTAGTGTGATCTTGGACTACTAAATACGCGTGAAGAAAACGGCGGTAGCCACTTGGTTCACCGGCGCCACTTCCACTCCGCCACAGAGCCATCATGACTCTACGAATAACATACCGCTTGTGGAAATTGCAATAACTCCGAAAGTCGTCACTGGAATCATACTGAAGTATATCGTTAGACTTGTCAATGTCATCCATGTTGGTCTGGAAGTGCTCTGGCAATGTCTTCGGGGGTTGCGTTAGCCACTTCTGTCAGTTAACACAACGGCTGCGGTTGTTGATGGCAATGTCGATGACACTTTCAGGCAAATCTTTGATCCTAAAATTCTTCTGAGACTGCTAAGCTTAGCTTCACATGATTTATATTAATGGTAGCTTGAACGTATCTGAGCAGCTACCCACAAGTGCATCGTGTTTCTGACGAAGCAATTTCCGAGCAACGATTCCCACACGGCAGCGATTTTCCAATTTTAAGGTACTTTGAGAATCACGCCGCACGCGCTTCTGTGTTGAATAACTATCCACAAAATCTGCACGTATCTGATATCCCGAATCAAGTCTTTTGATGGTGGGAGGGCCCACGGGCAACACTTCCCCGCCACTTACGAGCCATGCATCTTGTTCTCAGATTCAAGGAGGCAACATGTGGATACGATGGATACGAGAGAATACGGTGGATGCGAGAGATATGACGGAGCCGGCGCGGTTTGCGCATCGGCTATTTCTTATGCCGATTTAGCGATGTATCCAGTACTGAAGAGGAGAGAGCAGCGTGATTTATTTGGACAAGAGTTCTTCGTTAGTTAAGCACGTAGTCAATTACATCTTGTCAGTAATATCGACGGAGAGAGATTTGCGGCGGACCATATTGACGATCACCGCATGAGATTTCGATGGCGAGAAGACCTCATGGAAAGACAATGGATTACTTGAAACAATCCTTGTAACAACTTCCACGACAGATTTATGCATGGATTCACCCGTAGCCGTACCGACTCATGTCTGGTAACTCTCTATAATTTCCCTGCCATGTGCCGAACGTAGGCCCCCTTCCAGTGTGAAGCTCCGACCTCGTGGAAATCCCGTCTGGAACTCCTCGGCGCCGCTCCTTCATAAAGCCTCCCTCCCAATGGTCTGACAAGACACTGCTCGTAATAATATGCATTGAGATATCTCTCGCCATTCTCTGTATTGTCAACCTTGCCGCTGGGCATCCAGGTAACACCCACGCCGTTTGCCTTTCGGCCATTTCTATATATCGCGTGGGCTCTCCTTTTGATCTCCAGCAGAGGGCTTTACAAAGAATATCTCTGATGACGAATTTATCTATGCATATCCAGCTTTGGTCCATGGTTACGTGGAAGGGCAATCGTTGACAAAGTATAACTTTTTACAGTTGTTAAGCAGATACAATTGACTCAGTTGTCAAACGATTATGTTACTGCTGATAGACCGGTCGACCACGGCGGTGCATATGATACTAGAGTACGATCAAATGTTTCTATCCCCGCGTTTCCGTGATTCTGTCAGCCAGTCTCTCGAGCGTTACATCACGAAAGAAGCTCCCTCAACAAGCGCAATGGAAGTAGCTATTCTTGGAAAGATTTCGCTACTTTAAAGTTTTGCGGCGTCCATCGCGGATGATCAAGTCCACGGGCAACGTCACGCTGTGGAGATGCGATTGGCCTTAGTGAGGAGGAGAAGAAGAGTCGCCAAATCTCTTGCCTACTTTGTGGAGGTCCGTTCATTGAACCGAAGACTAGCAGTATAGGGCATCTTGTGTGTTCCGACTCCCAGGAGAAAACGTTCTCTTGTCTGGTTTGGTCCGGGGACCACGATAATTTGTGCGATCTTCACATGTGAATATTATGGCCGGATCGGCTGGACACTGCGAAGATCGGGATTCGTTCCCGCTATCTTCCTCGTCTTCTTCCTCATCCTACACATTTCCCGGAGTCGGTAATGCGAGCGGCAAGTGCTTGTCACTCCGGAAAACGTGTCTCAGCCCGTGAGCTGAATTATCATTCGCTGCAGTGACTTCCGCTGATGGGCGATGGCGGCTCTGTCAGGCTGGGCTGATGGCGGACAGCATTGTTTGCGAGGTCATAGTGAGTAGCGCATCAGTGCTGATCGCCAATCAGTCGCGGAGGGGGGATTTCAGCTAGATGTCTCAGACAAGATTAGATAGAATAAGGTCTATTATCTCAGTACCTAATCGGAGCTCGGAAGCCGGGTCCGCTCCGGCAGACCAGACCTGGGCCCCGTCTGGCACGGGCCGTGCCGCTTCCAATTCGTCCGTCGTAACTCTGTCGGGTATTCCTGGTTTCACAGCTCCTGTTGCAAAACAGCAAAATTAGCTGCAGAACGTACACTACCTTCGCAATCATCATTGTAACCTCGGTGCCGATCATCTACTTCTTCACCCAGACATGAAAGCTCTTGACGAGGACATTGACAAAATTTCTCGGGCCTGGCGATTCTCCGACGCGAGAGGGGCAAACAAGCGGAGGAACACTTTACAAATGCCGCAAGTGTTGGCGATCAACCGACTTTTATGCGATGCATTGGGTGGCGTCATTGGTGGCTGGTAAAGCGCGTCGCCCGCGCTTCCTTCGCGCACTTCGCCCCATGAGGCTAGTCCGAAGTTAGCAAGCTCGATGGAACATACATCATTTATCCCTTCTACCCCTCACTCATTGCATTCAGTGTTCTGGCTGGAATCTGACTCTATCCCTTGTCGTCTCCCATTCCTGTCACACAATGGGCCATCCTGGATGAACCAACACTGGCCATGGAACATGATATGTCGCTTTGCAGTACCTGCTCATCTATCGATCTCCTCAACATCCCCACATACCCAGAAAAGTACATTCTCAACAAGGGATCCATATTTCGACCCATCTTAAGTTTGTTGCAAGTTTGGGGTCCTTGGAAAGAAGATGAAGTATCGCAATTTGGCGTTCCGTTCCACCGAACTTTCGAAGACCTGTTGAGCGCATCAGCAGAGTGCGCCGTCTGTATCGCGGCGCTCAACGGCGCTTATGTCTTCAAGAGCTGGCTCGCCCAATTGAGCAACAAAGACGAACACATCAGCAAGTACCTCAAGGACGGGTCAGTTTGGGAGATGCGACTCGTCAAATACTCCAAGGACACGGAAAACATCCTGGTCATATCGTTTGACGCGGAAAAGAATGATATCAATCTGATTGGTGCTTTCAGACTTTGTGTTGATGAGAGCGACCCATTGGGCTCCTCAATTACCGGACGATGCTTGAGGAACAATCCGACACATGGCACAATGTTCAAGCAAATTGCGAAATGGGTGACAGATTGCAATCGAGACCATGCGCAGCTCGAGTGCTGTGTCGGCGACGTGAACTTGCCCACGAGAGTTCTCGACGTTGGTATTCACGACGAGCAAACGAACATCAAACTATGCGAAGTCCGAAACGCATCTGGAAAATACGCCGCCTTGAGTTACATGTGGGGTCAAGGAAAGGATCATTTCCGGACCACCATTGCCAGTCTAGAAGATTACAAGGCCGGCATCGAAATCAAGGCCATGCCGCAAACATTTCAGGATGCCGTCATCACGACGCGAAGATTGGGACTGCGCTATCTCTGGATTGACGCACTCTGGTCAGTAACTTTTAGGGACAAGAATGCCAATGTCCCCAAAGGAAAACGCTGACATCACATAGCATTATTCAAGACGATACCACGGACTGGGGCAGAGAGGCTGCAAAGATGGGTGACGTTTACTCGAATGCCTACATCGTGCTTTCTGTCTTGAAATCAAGTAATGACGGGGCAGGCTTTTTGGGCCCCCCCGAGACACTGTCATACGCAACCTGCCCTTACACTGCCCAGGGAGTGACCGGTACTCTCTTCGTTTGCGACATACCTCGCACACAGTCATGCTACATCAGTAGCGAGGACTTTGTGTGGGATGAGCCACTGTCGAAGAGAGGCTGGACTCTACAGGAGCGGTGGCTCGCGCCTCGTCTCGTCCATTTCGGTCCGCAGCAGATGATGTTTGAGTGCAACGCGCACTTCTTGTGCCAAGACGGAACCAAATTCGCAGGGCGCTACAGCAACGCCAAAAAAGACTGGGATACCGTTCACGACGAAGAGCGTGTTCTACGAGCCTCTACTGAGTGGACGGAGTTGGTAAGCGAGTATTCCACACGGAAACTGACCCGAGGCACGGACAAACTCCCCGCTATATCTGGTATTTCACGGATGATTGCAGATCAGATCAACGACCAGTATGTTGCTGGGCTTTGGCGCAAGGCAATGATTGAGGGATTATCATGGGAGTGTACCGAGCCTGAGCCAGCTGCCTCTCAGTATCAAGCACCGTCCTGGTCTTGGGCATCTGTCAACGGGACCGTTTCGCAGCAAAGCTTCGGCAACTGGCTGGCCCATGACGGTTTTGATTTGACCGTTCTTGGCCTCTCCAGAGTGTTGGATTGTGAAGTTACACCCAAAGGCGACGATCTTTATGGCGAGGTTCTTACCTGCACTTTGAAGATGGAAGGACTTTTCAAGACTATAGGTCCTTTGGGCTGTCATCCAGAGGAGACGAAGTTAAGGTTCCATGTCAAGAACATTCCCGGAGCTGTATGCAGCATCAAGTTTGATACCACTGACGGCGCAAAGAAAGCTTCAAATGCAGTAACGAGCTGGTTCATGCTGTTTCAAATGACTCAACGATATGACAAGCCCGGAGCTAAGCGTCACATGCATCAAGAGGGAATTGTTATTGTATCAAAAGGCGAGGGCTTGTACCAGCGCCTTGGAAAGTTGCGTATCGAATACGGTGAATGGGAAGATAACAAGCTCATACCTGATTTTGAGACGCGTACTATAGCTATTGAATGACAGCATGTCTCTTATGACGGAGGGAAATTCACACTAAAATTCCACAAGACAGTCTTGTGTATGGAAAGTACTAAAGTTCTCAGTTTCACAATTGCGGGGAAAGCAGATCCATGCCAGAGCAGAATGGACGAGAGTTTCAAAAGCAGGGCGCTTGTTAGGCGTGGACAGGATCTAGGCGCTGCTCATCCACTCAGATTTGAGGGATTTGATCCTCAACGTAATCTTATATGCTGACGATAGTGTTTGACTAAGAGCCCATGTAGGCACACGGTAGAACTGTCTCACTTACCTACTGTCAAGTGAGTTATGACATGATGAACTGAGAAAGAATTCCAGATTTTCTTCGTTGTATCCCTCTTTCTGGCTCTAATGACGGTTGCCAGAACATCTTTGTCATTGGTTTATGTCCATGCTGTGAAGTCTGCCTCTGTAGGGCTTTCGTTGAAGTTGACTTGCTTCTCAAAAACACGTCTCGGTAACGGCCATTCCAAGGTCTGAGGTTTTGTGGTCCGCACCGAGCACAGTGGAGCGATGGTCCCGTCACGATGTTGGTACCCTGCCTGCGACGTGGATCTCACGTAGTCCCTGTGAAATAGGATTTTGACTGTGTTGGCAACGCGCCCACGCCTTCACCCTTACTCCATCCCGGATTCAGACATTGTATAAAACAGGTATTGCCCTGTGACCTAGTTGTCTGGCACAGTTGTCGTACAGTCGCATTCAAGCTGAGCGACGTATTTTGTGCTCCGAGACTGAAGATTGTACGCGGTGTCTGCTGTTACGCTGTCGATTTGAGTGGTCCCCACAAACGGCCACGTTGTCCATGCCTTTCCTACACAGCCTTGGCCGATATTATCACCAGTTGCGACTTCTCTCATCCAGAAGTGACAGCCTAGTGTGGTAGCCGCCAGTGCGGATTCAGCAAAGTAAAAGAGCACAGCACCACGAATTTCCAGCTTTTCAATTGTAGATCGAATGAAATGCTACATGTGTTAGTAGGGTAATAAAATTTGCGGAGTGCTGCTGATTTGTAGACTTACATTCTGAAAGGTTTGAGTATTTGCGACAGCTGATTCTGACGCGATGCTATGAAAATTGCTTCGGAGAGAGGATACAGGCTCGAGACCGTCGATCAGAGATGGAGAGAATGCATTGGATGTGGTTGGGCTTAAAAAGTAGAACGCATGGAGAGAATGCTTTTGTGTTTATAAGATGGAAATTTGCGACGGCACTGCGTTCTCCCACTACCGCACTTATTGAATGATAACTGTTGCACCTGGCTAGATACGCGCAGAACCTTTGATTGTGATCGGTTGATGGGGGGAAATCCTAAGAGCTTATTTAACTCATCTCCTATTGGGGCATGCCATTTTTTCTGCTGGGTCGCTGAACGTGTACAAGTGATTTCAAAGCATTCCATCACCATCAGTTCTTTGGAGCTGTCCCTATTTGCAAACATGTCTTTCAATGCTTTGATTTGATCTCAAACACTCCACCAGCTGTCGCGATCGGTTTCAACGCGGATGATACGACTTGACTCGTGGCTGAGTCGCTGCTGCCTGCTGAGAATACACCCTGGGCACTGCCACTGGTGGAATAGAGGACAACGAATGTTTTAGGTTGATAGAAGACAGTTGCTAAGGTTTCTCTCACTGGCAGTTTGGGTGCTTCCGCTTATTTAGGTTACCGGGCGGGTTACTCCTTGCTGACAGGTCTCGTGGATTCTTGTACTAATCATGGCTGCGAAGCGGCTTACCCCTTGTCCTCAAATCCTCTTTTTCTCATCTCGAAAGATCGTGTGGCGCGTGAATTCGTGGGGTTTGACGCGGTGCTAGCCTCATTCTACGTGTTTTACTCTAGTTAAGCAGGGGAATGCACTATTGGATAGCGCAGGAAACTCTACGAAAACAGCCTCTGAGACGTCCATGAGAGCCGGCTCATGAATGCCACAAACATGCTTGGATGACCGATGAGAGCGAATGGTAATGAATGGTTGACGGACGACGGGTTGAATCATAAAGGTCAAATCTACCATTTAAACGTTAATGCACAGTGGGGCTGCCAGGCAAACCCATCATCTGCCCGGACATTGAACATTGATATAGGAATGCGGAAGAAATTTCCTTCCTGGGATTCTGCGTCGCAAGAAACATCGAGTTCCAGACGCACAATTTATTACGAAGGGCTGAATACGAAGAGAATTTGATACACCGACTGTATCAGACATTATCACCATCGGTGGCTGTGCCAGTGCGCAGGGCGTAGTGTCCGAGTTCTAATTCCAACGTAATATTAATTGCATATCCAATAAGACTAAGAAACCTAACGATCGAAGGAACATACCACCATTCTAGGCCAGACAACTACATTCTTGAGATCTCTTTCTAATTACTAGAAAATGAAGCTGTTCACCGCCATACTTGTATCTTTGACAGTGGCCGTAGCCCTGATAGCCGAAACTCCCTCCAAAGTTACCCGCGACAGACCCGACCCTATTCTGGCCACCAACAAATGCGTAAGAGTCTCGGAGGGCACTTGTCATCACACACACTAACAGATTTTAGCTCTGCTTTGCTAATAGCAACGCTGTGAGCAGACCCTGTCATTCGTAAATGCAAATATGATACTGACAGGTATTTAGGAATGCCCGAAAAAGACTTATATCGACCGATAAGAAGTAGATTTAAGCGAACGCTGGGCACCTTAGGTAGCTCGATGGCTTCGAATCCGTCACATGTTATAAATAGCGGTGAAGTTCGTGGTCTCTTATAATCACAGCATAGTGAAGGAAGTTTTGATTGATAATCAGTAGCATCATCAGTAGCGTGCTCATCTAAATTAGTAATAGACTGTAGTTCCCAGCAATAATCTTAGTTCTGATCTATTGTAGATGTGGAGTACTTTACGAAAGGATATATAATTACCTTTCCTCTACCTAAACTTCATAATAGTCTCATACCAGCTTAATGCAAGAATCTTACGTTATATAAGAAGGGCGGCAGTGGAATAGTGAGCTAGTGCTCTTCATAGTTAAAAGCTTTCTGATACATATAGCTTTATATAGTAAATCCCAGGGGCTACATATTACAACCTAATATTATAACCTATTATACATAGATAACAGTCGACTGACCTACTTAGGCGTTAAATAGCTAGGATAAGATATTTATACTATAGGATTATAGGAATAGCAGGAACTCACTTAGTATAGAAGAACTATAGTATAAGTTATATAATAATAAAATAAAGAAATAATTAGTAGAGTATAAGAAAGAATACTTAGTAATTAGTTAGCTATACTAACTAATTATAATTACTTTATACACCTAAGTAATCACCTTTAAGTAAATAAAGAACACTATTTAGGATTTATATATAGTATAACCTTAAGCCTAGCTTATAGTTAGACTTCTATAGCTCTTTAGTAATTAACTTAGTATTTATCCTCATAGATACTCTTAGCTTACCTTTACTATAAATCACTTATTAAGTCTAAAACTAATCACCTTAGCCTCTAAAGACCTAATCTACTATTAGCCTATAACCTATAACCTAAACTATAACCCTAGTATACTGTTATAACATATTAATCCCTAGCTTCTATTAGTAGACCTTATTATTAAATAGCTAACTATAACACTTTAATTACTCCTATTTAGTAAGTTAATTATTAATACCTACTAATAGTAAAACGATAAGTATGTCTTTATATACCTCTACTAAGTTACCTACTCTAAGGACCTCCTCCTCTTTATAGTAGCTAGTCTAGAACCTAGCTAAAGAACTTAAAGGAGCCTCTATAGTAGTAGACTCTAACGATAAAGTAACCCTAAAGAAAGATATTTATAAACGCTTTTAAGCTAAAGTTAAGAAGGGAGATAATAATATCGCTAAGGTTTAAACTATATATAATAATACTGCTATAGAACTTTAAGGCTTTAAAGAAATAATATAATAACTAGGAAATAGCCCTTAATATATTATAGACCTAGAAAATAAAGTTATCTAACTTAGAGGATAAAATAGTAACGCTAATATTAAAGAACTCTAAGAAGAAATTTATACTTTATATATAGCTACTAATATTATTATAACCCCTACTAGAGGATAATAGAAACTTAAACTTAGTACCCTAATTACTTATAATAGTACCCCTAGATAACTTAAATTATTCCTAATCTAAGTTAAGAACTATTAAAACTTCTACTATAGAGACTTTACTAGCTAAACTAAGAAAGTTATCTATATTACTACTTACTTATAAGGATAAGCCTTTAAGTAGTTTAAACTTATCTAAGAAGAATTTCTTAGGTATAAAACCTTAGATAAATATTCTACTAAGACTTATAATATCTATAGTAGCTTTAAGAGATTTAAAGATATTTTCTACTCTCTCTTTTAAAACCTTAATAAGAAATAATAAGCTAAAAGAGACCTTATATAGCTATAATAGATAAAGTTAACTAAAGAATATATTACTATATTTAGATAACTTAATATCTAACTTAACTTTATTAAAGAAACTAAGATCTTTATATTCTATTAAGGACTTAAGGATAAAGTTAAAGATAAGATTATTAAGATTAATTACCCTAAAGACTTTCTCTAATATACTAACCTTATTATTAAGATTAATAATTAACTTTTTAAACGCTATAAGGAAAAAAGTGAGAAATAATAAAGACCTAACTCTAAACGTAAGTACTAATAGTAGCTTTATTAGAAGTTTAACCCCTAATAGAATAATAATAAACCCTATAATAACTAAAATAATACCTACTAGAATACTACCTATAGATAGTATAGTAAACCTATAGATCTTAGTATAATAACTAAACCTAATAATAAGAAGCCTTAAAACCTTAAGTGTTATAATTATAATAAATAAGGATATATTACTAGAGATTATAAGTAGCCTAAAAAGCTTCCTTAGAAGCTAGTAGCTAAATAACTATAATAAGTTAATACTATTATAAAAATACTATATATATCTTAGTCTTAGACTAAATATTATAATAATAACTATTAAATCCACTTTAAAGATAAGGAAATATTAGGACACTACCTAAGAGATAGTAACCTTAAGTAGTCTAGATATAATATAACTACTCTAGATATACGTCTAAAAACCCTAGTAATAATATATATTAGTAATAATAAGATCTAAAGAAAAACTAGAGAATAACTAGATAAGATGCTATAAGTATAGCAACTCTAACTAATTCCTAGTTCTACCCTTAAAACGACTAATAACTAAGAGAATAATAATAAGTAGAAACTCTCACGCCTCTAGGTAGCTAAAGAAATATATCTAGAAAGGATCTAAGAAAAACCTTATAACCTACTTTAGGAAAGATAACTTAGCGTTATACTCTCATATAGGGAATAAAGAAAGTAAGTATATAGAAACCCTACTAAGATTAAATAAATTAATTAAGAACTCTAGGAATAGATAAGGGAAGAATCTAATAACGATCACTAATATAACCCCCTAGAAGAATAGCAACTATTTAATCTTATAAATAACTAGACTTTTAGAGAAGGAGAAAGCTCTCCTTATAACTTAGATAAACCTTACGACGTTATATATTAATATACTTAAGCAGAGATCGCCTATAAGCTCACCCTTAGTATAGATAATACTAGCTCTAAAGAGGAATCTAAGAAAGATAACACACTTAAGCAAATTATATATAAGTAAATTAACTTATATAATAATAAATAGTTTATTAAGCTTTATAGTATACTTAATATAGGACTAAGAATATACTACACCTTATAACTTAGAATTAAAGATCACTTATACTTTAAAATCACTAATCTCTACTATTAATACCTCTTTTAGGTATAATATTTCTTTAACTATTATAAAATCTATATAAGAGATAAGTATAACTACTATTTCTAACCTAAATAATATAATAATAATCCCCTATAAAATATCTATACTATATATACCCTCACTAAATAGGAACTTAAAAAGTTTAATAATAATATCACTATATTCACCTCTAGTTAATAATTCCCTATAAAATACCTCTATAATAAATAAATAAAATAAGATAAATACTAATATAATAAATACTAAATCTACTATAAGGAGAAAATATATACTTAGAGAATTATAAAGAATAAACCCTAACCTCCTTAGGTTAGATATTATAAAAATAGCCTTATAAAGGTATAATAGGAAGGGAAATAAATCACCTACCTAAGATATTTAGAACAGTTAAAAAACTAAACCTACCTACTAATATAAAACTATAATAAGTAATAAAGAAAAAGTTTATCTACTAAATATTATAAAGATATTAAGGTAATATAGAACTTAAAGTTACTATTAACTAATAAATAATACTCACACTAATTAATAATAAAGCTAAAGTAAACTTTATTACCCCCTAAGCTATTAATAAGCTAAAAGTACTATAGGGAGGAAAAGAATAACTATATTAGTTATATATAGTAGAAGGAGAAGAATTTAAGTATAAAGGAGGTACTATCTATAATAAGACTATACCCCTTAAGATAAGCTACTTAAATTAAAAAGAAAGAATTTAATTTAATATTACTAATCTAAGAATATATAATATAATACTAAAACTACTTTAGCTATAAATAAGTAACTTATAGATAGATTAAAGTAAAAGCTAACTCTATTAAGACTATAATAACTTAGTTACTAAGTAGCTTTATTAAAAATAGACCTTAAATAAGCTAATATAGTAAGAAATAATAAGATAATATATCTACTACTTTAAAGTAAAAGAAGCTATATTATAACTATTAATAATAATAGATCTTAAATAATAGAATAATCTACTTCTATTTATCCTAAAAGAATATAAAGTTTATAAGAAACTCTTTATAGCTGAATTAGAGACTAAACTACTTAAATATACTAGTTTTAATTATAAAATCCCCCTTAAGGAAGGAAAAAAACTATAATTTAATAAAATCTATAGACTTAACCTAATAGAGATAGAAGCTTTAGATAAATATCTTAAAGAAAACCTTAAGAAAAGTTATATTAAACCTTTAATATCACTAATAGGAAGCTTAATCTTATTTATACCTAAAAAGAATAGAAAACTATAACTATATATTAACTATTATATACTTAATAAAATAATAATTAAGAATTACTACTTATTTCCCCTTATAGATAAGATAAGATAAGATAACTCCTATATAGAGCTAACTAGTTTATAGCTCTTAATCTTAAAGGGACTTATAACCTAATCTAAATAAAATAAAGTAAAAAATAGAAGACTACTTTTTAGATATAAAAAGAATATTTTAAATACCTTATTATACCCTTTAGTCTTACTAATATACCTATAATATTCCAGAATATAATTAATATAATACTATATAAATATATTAATATCTATATAGTTATCTACCTAAATAATATCCTTATCTTCTCACCTATACTTAAGAAATATAAAGAAGATATTCACTATATCTTATAAGCCCTTTAAGAAGCTAAACTTTTAGTTAAACCTAAAAAAAGTAAATTCTATATATAAAAAGTAGAATACCTTAAATTTATTATTACCTCTAGAAAGGTTTATATATTAAGAAATAAAGTTAAAGCTATTAAGGAATAGCTAGTACTTAATAACCTTAAAGAAGTCTAAAGATTCCTAGGTTTTATTAACTTCTATTATAAATTTATTAAAGACTATAATAAGATTAATATAGCTCTTACTAGCCTCAGCTATAAAGATATACCTTTTATATAGAAAGAACCATAATAGATAGTATTTTAAAAGATTAAAGACCTTATCGCTAATAAACCTATTCTAATTATCCTAGATCTAATAAAACAGTTTAAAGTAGAACCTAATATATCTAATTATATAATTAGAGCGTAACTATTATAATAAGACTTAGAAGGATAACTATATCCCTACACCTTCTTCTCTTATAAGCTCTATAGACTAAAACTTAACTACTAGATATATAATAAAGAGCTTATAATAATTATTAAAGCCTTTAAAGAATAAAGACCTAAACTCTTAGGAATAATTTATAAAGTATTTATATATTTTAATTATAAAAATCTCTTATACTTTATAACCTTAAAAGTACTTAATAAATAATAAATCTAATAGTTAGAATTCTTCTTAGAATTTAATTTCTAAATAATCTATTAAAAGGGATTAGATAATAGTAGAGTAGATACTCTTAGCTAATAACTAAACTATAATATCCTAGTACCTAAAGAAACCTAAGTGATTCTTAAATAATAAGATAATAGAGACCTAATACTAGTAGCTAAACTCTTAATAATAGCTAGATAATCTAATATTAGCCTAACTAATAAACTAAATAATAAAGTAATTATAGAATTTTATATACACCTTATATATAGTCACTAAGGAATCATAAAGACTTAAAAATAACTATAATAATAATATAGAGAAAAAGTTATAAGAGAATATATAGTAAAANACCTAAAAATAACTATAATAATAGTATAGAGAAAAGGTTATAAGAGAATATATAGTAAAAGCAATTAAAGATTATAAGGTATACCTAAAAAATAAACCTACTTAATATTAACCTTATAGTATACTATAACCTTTACCTATACTATAAATTACTTAGTAATCCATATCCCTTAACTTTATTATTAAACTACTAAAGTTATAAGAACCCCTTATAGGAGTACACTTTAATAGTATTCTTATTATAGTAAACTAACTTATAAAGTATACCTACTTTATCCTATATAAAGAAGTAAGTAATACTAAAGAATATATATATACCTTCTTTAAATATATTATTACTAACTATAGTATACCTAAGGAAATTATATTAAATAGGGATAAGATTTTTACTTCTAAATTTTAGAAATTAATTATAGTATAACTTAGTATTAAGTAATCTATATCTACTACGTTCTACCTATAGACTAATAGATAAATAGAATAAATTAACTAAATCCTTAAAACCTACCTCTATACCTATATTAACTATAATTAAAATAACTAAGTTATATTTTTACTAATCGCTTAGTTCGCTTATAATAGCATAATTAGAGAAAGCACTAAGGAATCCCCCTTCTACCTTAACTATAGTTTTAAACTAACTACCTATAGAGAACCCTAAGTAGGCCTAGCTATAGTTAAAGCTACTATTTTAGTATAATAAATTAAAGATATTTAAGATAATATATATAAAGAACTTAAATTTATCTAATAATAAATATTAAAATTTAGTAATAAATAAAGGATTAAGGGATTAACTTTAAAAGAGAGAGATAACGCCTATCTTATATAGTAAAATATTAAAACAAAACGACTAAGCGATAAACTTAACTTTAAAAAACTTAAACCTTTTAAAATCTTATAAGTTATCTTACTAGTTAACTATAAACTTAAACTCCTAAAAACTATAAAATATTACTTAGTATTCTATATTTCACTCTTTAAGCTAGCACTATAAGGATTATAAATAAATAACCTTATTATTATAGAAGATAATAAACTAGAGTATAAAATAGAAAAGCTACTTAACTATTAGTATAGGGATAATAAATAGGAATACCTTATTAAATAGAAAAACTATAGATATAAAAATAATATATAGNGGAACCTAATAATAACCTACTTAACTGTTAAGATAAGATTAATAAGTATATTAGAACACTTAATTATATTAATCTTAAGGATAGACTAAGTCTACTTATAACCCTAGAAGAATTTAAAGAATATATAAAATATACTAATAAAAGAGAAAGATAAATATAAGAAGAACTATAATAGAAATAAAAAGAAGCTAAGGAATAAAGAATATAACTTCTATTTCTATAGTTATAATTAAGACGCCTTTAGTTAATATAACTAAGAAAATTATTTATTTAATTAGGAATACTAGAATATAATTAAGACTCCCCTAATAAGAAATTTAGAGTATTAAGATTCTAGTTAAAAATTAAATTTAAGTCTAGAATACTAAAACTACTTATAGATTAAACCTCTAATATAGGAGATATTATTAGCTCCTCTTCTATAACCTCCTAACCTTTTTAAAATATTATCCTTTTCTACTTATATAAATAATCTAATTATACTATAGACTTATCTAACTTAGCTTATATAGTATATAGAGTAGCTACTTTCTTTCTTAATACCTCCTCTTTAGTTACCTCAGTATCCTCTAAACGAGTAGCTTTATCTAGTAAACGATTAACTAGGATAAGTTAGTATTAAGTAGAAAAAAAAAAAAAAAAAAAAAAAAAAAANAAAAAGAAACTTATAAGTATAAATAGTATCTACTACTATATTATAAGACTACTTTAAATAAGTATACTTACTATAAACTTTACTACTAGGGAGAAGTTTATAATACTTCCCTAAAGAATAATAGTAAGAATAAGGTATATTAATAATTAGACTAAACTTAGTAATATATAAAGTATAGTTATAATAATAAAGAGTAGAGGTAGTACTTAATTTTAATTTCTAAATATAACTTAATATAGTATTAGTATTATAAATAAAATAGGAAGAATAATTAATAGATCTCTAACTTAAGACTAATAACCTATTTATATTAAGTCTTAAGGATAAAACCTTTAGAGAGGGGACCTAATATTATAACCTAATATTATAACCTATTATATATAGATAACAGTTAACTAACTTACTTAGGTGTTAAATAGCTAAGATAGGATATTTATACTATAAAATTATAGGAATAGTAGGGACTTACTTAGTATAAAAGAACTATAATATAAGTTATATAATAATAAGATAAGGAAATAATTAGTAAAGTATAAGAAGGAATACTTAGTAATTAGTTAGCTATACTAACTAATTATAATTACCTTATATACCTAAGTAATCACCTTTAAGTAAATAAAGAATACTATTTAGAACTTATATATAGTATAACTTTAAGCCTAGCTTATAGTTAGACTTCTATAGCTCTTTAGTAATTAACTTAGTATTTATCTTTATAGATACTCTTAGCTTACCTTTACTACGAATTACTTATTAAGTCTAAGACTAATTACCTTAGCTTCTAAAGACCTGATCTACTATTAGCCTATAACCTATAACCTAGACCACAACCCTAGTATACTATTATAACGTGTTAATCCCCAGCTTCTATTAGCAGACCCTACTGTTAGATAGCTAACTGTAATACTACGCTAATAGCCCTAAGCAAACGAGAGCTATCAGCTTGGATGATCTGGTATTATTGCTAAGAAGATATTGAATCGAAAGAAGCAAGGTGAAGCTATTTCATCCTTCATTGCAGCCAACTGTTGCCACTCGAGCTGCGGGTGCTCTGCATATAAATACCAATTTCTCTCCCAAGCACTGACCGGAGATGAGACTACTCCTTCACCAAGAATCAGCTAAGAGCAAAACCATCGAAAAATTAACAGTGAGACTTATATATTACGTAATCATGGCGCTGTTCATCGGCGATGCATTTTCTCGTGACGAGGGCTGCAACATCGAACTCCTCAACATCAACCAAGCAGTTGCCGACTCTGCCTGTATTCCGATAGACTCTACGCAGGTCATGACGGATCGTTCGGCTTGTGGCTCTCCCCTGACCTACAAAGTCCACGTCAACGGTAACTGTGGCGTCGGTCTGGATGACGACCAACAATTGGATCCCAGCAACTCGCTAAGAAAAGCTGGCTTCTGCTAAGTAGTGTCGAATGGACTGCGCGCAGAGTCTGTTCTTAGCATAAATGAATGACTTTGGGAGGGAATTAGCACACTGCTCATGGCCTTTGAAGATGTATCTGCGATGTGATAGCTGGTCCTCTGTGCAGGAACGGAACAAGCATAAGTACAGTTAGCCTGCTCGTGGAAACCTAGGATAGATAGAGGGCGCATGCCACTGATGATACAAGAATTACTGAATTATGCAAAAGGAAACCATTATGCAAAGTATCAATGACGGTGGGCTTCAGAGTCGGTGATAGTACTTTGGGATTCTAGACGAGGAATCTTTTGAACAGTTGCCAACGGCCTGTGCGACAACGTTGGCGAACAGAAAATCTAGGTTTCCTGCGGATTAACACATCACTCTGAATTCGCTATCTTACCTCAAGAAGTCCCTCTCGTTCAGAATGAATTCATATAACATAGCAAAGCCCCCGATCTCCCGCAATAAAACAGAAATACATACAGCAGCGTCGCTTGAGACGAACTTGGTGCCACCCATCTGCGCGCAATATGGTCAGCGTCTGCTTGCCGGGCCCACCAATTTGAAAAGCCGGTTCCCCACTCAGTAGGTAGACATTGAGCTACATAACTTGGGATGGGTCGTCTTTTATCACTCCGATACAAATAACTGAATCGTCTACGAAAGTTAATTTGAGGCCGGGAGAGATACAGACCCACTTTCGGCTCAGCGTTCATGGCCGGGTACGGAGCAGCCCGCAGAACGCTGAAGCATTATGCCTGAACATCGTATTATAAATACCACAGCATAGTTATTCAATATGTTCAGATAAATTGATAGTTATCCCTCTTCTCATCTCAAGCTCTCTGACTTTTACAAGACAGTTCCCAATTCCACCATGATTTGCCCAAGCTCTCGTCGCCGCCTCCATGGCTCCTGGCGTTATGGTAGGCTGCCGGCGTGCTCCTGAAGTCTGCAAGTCAAACATTGATCCAATTTCCCGAGGGCTTACCGATGGATGGATTTGCTCTGAACGAACTGATCCTCCATCCCAAAATGAATGTCAAGTCACTGGTTCGAGGCAGCGATCTGAGCCCGGTATTGTCGGCTCAGAATTCACATTGTGCTGCAAGCCTAGCCCTAACTGTAAGCCAATCCTTGAGACATACACGATGGAAAGCAATGATATTGATACTCTTGCGACAGGTTAATTGACTTTCGGATAAAGAGTGGTTGGACTCTATCAGAGCTTGGAGAGACCCATGCGTCGGTCTTGCAATAAGAGACCAGGATGACTAATTTCATTCATATCGACTGGCAATTTTCAACACTCCGTTCTGCCAGATATCAGGCACGAAATCATTAGCGTACTTTCATAGATGTGCTACGTCAACCATTCGTTCTCCACGAAAATAAAATGCCTATTTTTGAAGTTTTCGACTATCATGCTGCTGTAAGTAAATGCTGCCAACATTGAACGTGAGAGTGACTTGCTGAGAACTTACAAACAAAATGTCATCTGGACTTACGAATCATCGTTGACCCCTCAAAAACTCCAACACGTATGTCTGGCTGCGAGCTGTACTGAGCCTATGCCCTGAAGACTACCCATTCCATGCTACGTGAGTCAAGGGCGATGCCACCGTTTCTGTGAAGTCTAGGAGACCGTCGGCCACACGTAACTTCATATATATTGTCATGGGGAATGTTGAGGGTGATTGTTGTGGTAGGGGATGAAAGCAAAGGCGAGGGTCTCGGCTTCCACTGCTGAAGAACATCTTGCTTGGCAGGCCGTACAGAGCTATTCGTGGCACTGTCGTTGGCGGCGTCCGTTTCATGGCGACAACACCAAGCACCATCTTTCAATATGGCTTCGTCTTATGTTTTGTGCGATCGCTGAGGTTGGGGGAATGTCAGCATGGGACGACGGCGCGAAGCTGCAAGACCATCGCGATGGGAGGACTGAAGGGGCTGAGGTCCTGTCTGGTGTACGTAAACAGCGGGTAACATGATCTGCAGTCTACTCATTGACGGTTGGTTTGGTGAAAGGAGTATGCCACGGGAAGTTGTTGCCAGTAGCTAGTTAGTGAAATGGTTGGGGTTCGGGAAACCTGACTAACGCCAACATTGGACTGCCTTCGGTCGCTTCTACTGCCAAATCAGCGGCTGCATCTTCATCTTGCAGTTGGTCAGAGAATATGAAAGTTTGGGAAGCTAAGGAGAGGAGGCCCTCGGACTGATACTATGCCTTGTAACATTGAAGATGATTGAGGTCTTGTAACTGAGATAAGAGCCCAACTGGGGTTTATATCACCATTTAGATTGGTGAAAAGACCAGTTGCAAGTTCGAGGGAACGGCCAAAAAGCGAGAGAACATCGTATTGGAGAGATCCGCCCTCTGCTACAACAGCGGCTGCGAGGCCGTTAATAGCAGATGGGACGGGTCTTGTAACGCTCCAGTGAGTGAAGCTCAGCAGAGTGGCACATTGGGCTACGATGAACAACGCTAGATGCGAATGTCGTTCAAAAATGCAAGTCCGATTACTCACTTTAACCAGTCGTTATCAGCAAGCTAACGGTGGCTGAGGGAAAAAGCAGTTTGCCATTCATGGATGCACACAACCCCTGCATTCTGCTATGATATTGCTTTACACACTGAGTGCGAGGGAGCTACGTGGTTTCCTTATCTTACAGAATCACAGCAGTCCTTCGCGGTCACATTACTTCACTATACGCACGGGCTAAGGTGCAAAAATGTGCAAAAACATACAACAACGGGCATTCGCCGGTCGTCACCAACCCGACTACTTCTCCAGCCCTCATTAGCCTATCTATGGGAGAGCGGACGGGATCCCGAGTTCTCCAATAGGTATGGTCGTATGTACCATATCAAACTCCTTCACTCATATATATAGGTATCATAAGCTACTCTACCGTATTCGCGTGAGCCCCTTTATTGTCAATGAGGTTTCTGTTGACGGCGCATGAGTTCTCTCAGAATAAACGATCAAATTGCTGCGGCTGGCTGAGTGCGAATAATTCCTATTGATATTGGCATGTGACTTTGTAGATAAAAGGTTTTGAGCATGCGGCCCTTGAGCGTTACTGAGACAGCAACAGCATTCTCAAACGGACGGCCGCGGTGCACGACGCCCCACAGCTCCGTCTTGGTCTACCTTAGGCCATGGGTTCGGGTAAGGTGGGTCTAGTGCTGGATGCCTACCGTCTGAATCTGGAGCAATCATTCCCTTTAAGTCAATGGCAGGTAACTCAGCATCCATCTAATTTGGAGTTCAGCATGACCTGTGTTACGCGGCAAAGGGGAAGAAGGTCGAAATCTGGATAGAGACTGCCTCCATAAGCTGTTGTGCCTGCTGAAAGGGGGCTGCTGCCTGTGCTTCACGAGACATTCTTTCCCGGGGATGCTCCCGCCGGACGGATGCTCCTTCTCTGATTGGTGCGCTCTTCTTTCGCTTGGCTTCCCCCTTCAATCCAATCCAACGCCACTCCTGCCTTTCAACACCTCTCCTTCTAATCCAGAACCTCACTGAAAATGGCTGCCCCGGAAGTTGCAATGGTCATTAGGGCATCTCTCTGACGCGAGACAGTACCTTCTGTTGGATACTTTGAAACCGAAAGGTAGCCACCACTGGACACCCCTTCCCAGGTAAACCATCTTTCGTCTTCAAGGTAGTCAGGTACCTTAGTGGTGTGCACTTTCCAGAGACTTGGGCCGCCCTTGCTACTCACGTCAGGGCTGCCCAAATCTGATTCCAAAATCAAAGGGCCCAGATAACCATCATCCTCTTCGCCCCAATGCTACCCTGACAGTCGTATTTTGCCATTTCTTTTTTGGCGCACTCGCTTCTCGGACAGCTTTTCGATCATCCATTTGCCACATTTTCAATCCCTGCAAGTTATTCCTTTGGACGCTTCGCATCACGATGTCTGCCCGCGGGTACATACATTCCGACGACGTTCGTGATGCAATGTCACCTATACTGGAGCTCGAAGAAGACAACGAATCACGTCCCGACACTACAGTCAACGATCACCAACGTCCCGAAGACGACCATGCAAACAACCAGAGCGAACCCAGTGCCAGCGCCGACACCTCCTCTCCACAACAAACTCCAGATCGACCCGAAGGCTGCGAGTGCTCGCTGGGCTCAAAGCCTTACCTCTTCAAGCTTTGTGGTCATGTCAGTTGAACCCGTACCCATCTCCCCGCCTTGCCCTCCCAAGTCCGTTCCGGAAGCTTGGCTGACTTGACGGGTAGCGCTTGTGTCGATCCTGCTACCGTAACAATCCCATATGTTGCGACAAGGACCAATCTGTCATATTCGTTTACCAGGAGGACAGGTGCCCTGTGTGCCTTTGTGACGACAAGCCTATGGGAATCGCTAGCTGCGGTAAGTGATTCCACGCCTCGTCTTCGAATGACGCGACATCCGGAACTCTGACCCTGTCGAAAGGCCACTCAAAGTGCAATGAATGCTGGCTGTTACCAACTCTTTTGGCTGAGGATAGCTTCAGCCTATGCGCCGTATGCAAAGAGCCATGGAAGGAGACTCCAATACAAGAGTACATGCTACAGGAGCAGGTCGAGCTGCCGTCATCCCCTGAATAGAGATTGGTGCCTTAACGGAGGACTCAGGAGGCTACTTTTATTACTCAGCAACACTGTCCCCAAGCGATTCCATGCCGGAGGGCTTTTCGTGGCGCCTTCAATATTTCGGCCTCCTGTGTGAAGCCACTCATGCAGGCCTAGCGTCAAAAGAATACCATCATTTCCCTTTTGCGTTGGAATCTTGTGCACTCAATCTTCTCTGTCGCGAATGCCAGAACGGTATTCTGTTCACCTTCAAACTCTCCTGGGTTCTTCGCCTCCTCGTCCGTGGCATGTTCACGACGAAGTAATTGCTGGTAGCAGGCATCAAGATTGCAAATTGCAGCCGCGCAACTCTGTCTCCCCTCCCACCCCATGGGTAGCCCGCAAGTACTGGCCCAAAATCCACAGTCGACTTGGCTCCTCTGCACGCACTCGTGATTCGTTCCAAGAGCCTCGCCTCCACTGTCTAACACACATTGCTACAAGAATGTCAGTGTTGCTCTCTATCTCCATAATCCACAATTACACATTGCCAAAATCTATCTTGCTAGACGCTGCTTTCTTCCGCTCATATGTCATTATTAGTATTACGCATACCCAACCTTTGTTTCTAGGCTCTAGTGCCCGTCATCACTGTCCACCCTCCAAGTTGAAGCACCACTGGTCCGTGAATCAAACTTCCAACACTTCAACGCTAGAAATTGCGTAACCGTGAGAAGTCGCGTCGAAGTTTATGCGAGTTGCATTGGCGACAGCAGAAATGGGTGGCACGCGACCCGAGAGACTTCAACCTACGTGCCGCATCATCACCTACATAACCAAGACACCTCTGCTGTCGTTTACGCCAGCTTCGAATGCATCTGGGAGCCGCGACGGCCCCGACAGCGTCTGAACTCAGAGAGTTCTGATTGTCCCGTTGCCAACCCTCCCGTTGTCTCCGGTCAGCATTCCGGTCCACACCCTGGGCTCTTCAACTGCAAGGCACAATGATGGACCCCCCCGCTACAGTGCGACGCAGGTACATCGAGTAGCCAGAATTACCCAAATGCTTTTGCACATTGATTCCTTATTCGCCTAAAGAAACTGTCAACTGGTCAGCATAATATTTGATTAACTGTACCCCGCAAACTTACGTACTGGCCACACAGTCTCGTGGTGGTATACCTGGTCACGAATGAATGACGCTCGATTTAATGTACCATCATACCATCGCTTCCAGTCAAGCTTAGCAACGAACCCCCAGTGTACTTCTAGATGTCAATCTCAGCTTTTGAACATCTCCAACCACTGAGTCACAGCTTCAAACCTGAAGTATTCATCAATGTTTCTCTCGGCATGTTTGCCTACAGGGGAGTCGGCGCAGGGGAGTCGACACTATGAGAGCCCAGCTCGAAGAGAGAGTCAGCAGGTTCAAAGACCATCAAGGGCGGTATAGCTGATCTACTCGTTCTTCATCTTCCGCTATTATGATGAACCGGTGGGGCTAGTGCGACATGGTTTCTAAACCTGGACCTCCGGCAAAGCTAGGGCGGAGGGGGCAAGGGATTGTAACCTTTCATCGAGGCTACATTGCGTCTAAATCAGTTTGAGCTGGGTATA